AGACACCTACATTCTGAGAGAATATGTTAATAAGCCGCTGCCGTTCTGTGTTATGTTTCTCTTTTTTACTGCTACAAGTTACGACGTCATCAAGTCTAGACTGGCGCTATTGATCCATTCAATTTCTAAGACTGGCGGTGTTTTTTAATTCCATTTAGAAAACGATGTGAAATATAAGCTTTTAAGCAAGGTTTAGCACAAAAAAAAAAAAATAAAACACGTGAAACAAATGTGACCAAAAATGTTGTTTTTAGGAGAGGCTTTTTGAACTTGGCCAAGAAGCAGCAAAAAGAAAAAAAAAATTGTGAGTATTGCTTACACGGCGACATATGTACATAAGTTTACGTCTTCGATTTTAAATAAACGTTAGCAGAAAGATATAGAGCAGCAAACCTGTACGCTACGGTAGCGATACATATTAGAAATTCTACAATTTAGATCGCCTGTAGAAAGTAATGTAACATGATACATACATTCTCGAGGTTTATGCGGTGTTCACAGGCTGTATTTTAATATTTTTTCACGATACATTTTTTTGGTTTTATTGAATGAATGAAAATGAAACAAAATTTCGGAAATACCATCAAATTTTAGAATAACTTTAGATTTTTTCAAATTGGTCACCTTTGGCACGAATTATGGCCTTCAAACGGCCAATGAAACCGTCACACGCTGCGGTATTTTGGCTCATTCCCGGCGAAGCGCTTGCTTGAGGTGATCGACTCTTTGGTATTTTTTAGTGCCAACCTTTCTTTTCAAAATACTCCAGACACAATAGCCCAACGGATTAGTATCCGGAGACTTAGGTGACCATTGTGCGCTGGAAATGAAGCGAGGAACCTCATTTTGTAACCATTCTTGGGTGGCGCGTGCTGAGTGCTATGATACTGAGTCCTGTTGGAATGTCCAAGGTCTGCGGCAAAATGTTTGTGTGCCCAAGGCTTTAATACACCCTCCAGAATATTTTCGCGATAATAATCGGCATTTATTCTGATGCCACGGTCAATTAATACGAGCGGAGAGCGACCATCGGCAGTTATGGCGGCCCACACCATCACCATGGCCGGCGCTTGAGTTCTGGTGGCCAATCGAAAGTGCACATTTTCAGCTGAACACTTTGGCATTTGTTTGTTTACAAACTGCTGGACAACGAATGTTTTCTCATCGGAGAAAACTAAATTCAGAAGTTCACCACTTTCGGCCATGCGAAGCAAATTTTTAGCCTTTTGGAATTTCAATAGCTTTACCCCGAGCTCATTTTTCAATATTTGCCGAATGGAATACTGCGATATGTTCAGCTCACGAACCATTTTCGGTCACTGCGACGCGGGTTTCGAACAAGTCGCTTCTTGTCGCTTTGTTTTTCAGGGTATAAAGAAGTCACGAAGAACTCCTAGTGTAGAATTTCGAACAATTCCATTGAAAAATGTGGTTAAAATCATCCAAATACCGAATATCGGGGGTACCGTTATAGCGCCTGCCTGCAGACAAAAGACAGACTGGTCAAAATTTTGGCTTCCTTTCTTTGTTTGTTTTGACTCTAGCGCAATTACAACAGACGGACGGATAGGGCTAAATCGTCTTAGATTTTTACGCTAATCAGGAATATATATACTTTGTTGGGTCAAAAATTATTATTTGGATGAGTTACAAACGGAATGGCGAATTTAATATATGATGGAGGGTATAAAAAATAACTTTCCTCCTGGATATTTTGTAAGATCTTAACTAAGTCCAAGACTGTATATTTATCGTTTAATGAACTAGGAGAACTTTTGATACCTTCCACCAAGAAAGAAAGAGAAAGAGAGGGAGAGATGAACATTTTTGAAAATATGTTCAAGTACACCCAGTTCAAATTTATTTCACAATACATCCTTTGATTCCTAGAAATCCTAAATGCCAATACGACCATAACAGGTCCTCAAATACCTCAAATGGTGACTTTATTGAATATAGAACTTTAAATATGTATTGAGGTGATGGAACAGCAAAATTAAATAAAGGAAGTTTGAAAGTGAAGCTATATCCAAACAAGTAAGCAAAGGCTATAGCCGTGCGGGTCCGACCATGTGATACCCTACAACACTACAATATGTTGGAACTCCCCTTATGTCCAAATCCATTTTGGAAGATTTCGCTTTTGAAATTATGTCACGGAGCACTGCCCAGATATAACCCTTAGCATTTTTACATTTGCCCTGTATTTACGCACTCCGGTGAGCTGTTAGTTGTTGTGGTCCATTTTACAGCTAAATATAATCCAATGGTCATCCAAAATGCTAGAATTCTTCCCCGTCCTTAACTCTCTCCTCAATCGTGTCGATTGGCTTAAATTATGTGGTCAGGAATTTTTTTCTGTTTTTGGTTCATTTCAACCCCTAAATAAATTGCGGACATCTTAAATAAAAAAAACACTAGGCTTAGCCCTTCTGAGCCTAACCTTCCCTTGTGAAAATTTTCGTGAGGAGCGGACGATAATTGCATTCTGTAACAAAAAAACAAATATTACAAAATATACACTTTAATATTATAAGTCAAATTGAAAAAAATCGCATGCGATAAAAAAATGTCACAAAATACTATATTAACATCATTATTGGCATCTTTTTATGCGATTTTTTAGATTTTATACTTTTATGCCAAGAGGGCATTCTGAATTGACAACATTTGTCAAAATCGGTCCAGCCATTCTTGAGATATGAACATTCTAGCTAACATCACCTTTCTTTGTATATACACATTGCATATATTTCGCTATAAAATTATGACTAAAATTGTGGAAAATTTGACTTTTATTTAACACAAATATTATGGTCAATTTCAGCCACTAAATATTACCCGATGACCATCAAAATTGGAAGACCTCTGTCCAACCCTAAGCTCTAGCCCCATGCTAACTTCCGCGTCGATTGGTCTATAATTGCGACCTGTAGAGCAACTGCAAAAACAGGAAATTTTTCAGTTGTTGGTCCATTTCAACCCCTAAATATTATGCGATCATCTTCAAAAGCAATAGGCTTCTATTCTGGCCCTAGCCCCACCTACATTCTAAATTTCATGAAGATCTGGCCATAATTGCGACCTGTAGAGTGATTACAAATTAACATGGACAGACGGACGGACGGACGGACATACATAGCTAGATCGACTCAGCTCGGCGAGATAGGAAGATCCATATATACTTTCCTATGAGGGAAACCAATATTTCGAGGTGTTACATAATTTTTGGCCCAATCAAACTTATAATAACCCCAAAACATAGTGTTGTAGGGTATAAAAATTCGTACAATCAGGAGAACAGGTGACCATATCGAAGCGTGTTTAAATCACAATATTTATATAAAATTCACTTTTCATGATCTTAATATATGAAATTCATTATGAGGTGCAGAAACATAAATCAGCTACTGTGAGTTTTGCAAACATTTTCGAATACAATGGCAGTAACGGTTATTAACTGAGCAGATAACGAGCGATTTATAATTGGAATGCTAATTAATTTTGAACTTTGTGCCAATTAGCTTAACAATAGCTAATCTCCAATGCCTTAGGCCTTTTGTCTTTTATGTCATATGGGATTGCATAACTCAGACAGAGTTATTTCACAAATTAAAACCAGTAAAAAAAGTCTTAAAGTCGGCCGGGCCGACTTTATGATACCCTACACCACTTTGCTAATTTAGTAGAGCTGCGCATAACAATTAAAAGTTTTTATGGGAGAATTCAATCATACACGCTATGATTATAATTATAATTTAAAGTTCAAAGAACAAAATATGCCGAAGCATTTGTATATTTTAAATTCGGACTTGTATTGCCCATTTGGTGCAAATTTAATTTGAAATCGGATAAAAATATATATGGGAGCTATATCTAAATCGGAACCGATCTCGATAAAATTTGGCAAAGATATTTCTGAGCTGTATTTGATATATTTCCCTGAATATCGTGGGTATGCACTCGTTGGAGTGCATATTACGGCTGTGGGTAACAAATATGACAAATCGGATGAACAGTATATATGGGAGCTATAGCTATATTTGAACCGATCTTCACAAAATTTGACATACTAGCTTCTAGACTAAATTCGGTCGTAAGTGCCAAATTTCATCCAATTTGGGCAAATATTAGACGTTTGGTGCACAATCAAAGGTAAATCGGACTAAGTTATATATGGGAGCTATATCCAAATCTGAACCGATCTCGATAAAATTTAGCAAATGTATTTCTGAGCTGTATTTGATATATTTTCCCAAATATTGTTGTTACAGAGTGCACGTTACGGCTGCGGAGGACAAAAAAAAATCGGATGAACAATATATATGGGAGCTATAGCTATATCTGAACCGATTTCGATAAAATTTGGCATACTTATTTTCAGGTCCAATCTGATCGTACGTGCAAAAGTTTATACAATTCGGACTGATATTACACGTTTGGTGCACAATAAAAGGCAAATCGGACGAATATATATATGGGAGCTATATCTAAATTTTGACCGATTATCTCCAATTTCAATAGGGTTCGTCCTTGGGCCAAACAAATGATTTGTGCAAAATTTCATCTGGATCGGGCAATAAATGCGAACTGTACTTTGTTTACAAAAATACATGGACAGACGGACGGACGGACATGCATAAATCGACTCAGAATGTGATTCTATGCAGATCATCAAAAGGAACTATGGGTCTATGTCGTTTCCTTTTGCCTGTTACAAACAAATGCACAAAGACATAATACCCTGACCACCTTGTGGTGTAGGGTATAATGAACATTTTTTGCAGTTTCATTTTTACATAATTGTAACAATTCCATTTAGGGAACTCGTGAATTGGTATTCCTATTCCTGTTTAAATAATAAAATTAAATCTTTTTCTTTTGATTTTAGCAATAAATAAATAAATATAAATTAAGAATTTATTTTTAATAAATTATGTGTTATGAATATTTATATTCGAATATAATTACGAGTATTCTTAATTTGTACTTTAAAATAAAAACATTTAACAACCAAAAACCGAACGTTATTTGCTCATCAGGGATATGTATCGTTGTAATAATCACCATCCAAGCCCTGAACATTTCCGGCACTGTAACTATCGTGGCCGGAATAGGTTTCTGTGGTAGGTGTTCGCGCAAACCCTTCGGGCCAATCAATGTTCGAATATGGTTTCGATAGGGGAGGGACTTCTTTCGGCAACTCATCCAAAAGGGTGTTGTGGTGAACTTGAGAGGGAGCGGTGACCTCTTTGTGTACTGTATCTTTAGGATATCGTGTTGGTTTTTCATAAGTGTAGGGACCCGATGATGGTGGTTGGTGTTCATAACCACCATCACTGGCATAGGCCGGAGGAAAATTGTGTTGACCATAGGAGTGCTGATTATTGTCAGGATAATGTGGGGATTCATATTCACTGTGATGTGCTTTATAACCCGAAGACGTTAAATGCTGATTATATGATTTTGGAGGATCTCGGTGACTACTTTTCTCCTTTGGAACATAATACTTTGATTCCTCGCTGTGCAAATGTTCTTCATGTTCGGCATGCTGATATTTGGGATAAGATGGCTGATGATAGCTTTGTTGTTTGGGAACATGGTGATAATCTTCAACAGAAGGTTCGTATAATGGCTTCGGAGGGGAATAAGGCTCCCGGATTTCCTGTTTCGGAACATAATATTTCGGTTCTTCTTTGGGTTCCACATATTCCTTGATGGTATCTCGAAATTCTTGTTTCGGAACATAGTATTTTGTTTCTCTTTCGGGTTCTACATATTCCTTAATGGTATCTGGAATATATTCCGCCGGACGTGCAGGAGGTCTATATTCATAATGAGATTTCGATTTCTCATGATATGATGGGGATTTATATGTTTTGGGTATATTTTCATGATATTCATGTTTGCTATAACTTGGGATTGCCTCGTAAGACTCAGCTTCTTTATATTTTGAATATTTGCCATAATAGATAGGGGCTTCTTCTTTTTCTGGTCTGACATATTTGGGCTTTTCATAAATTACATAATCTTCCTGACCGGAATTATGGGCACCCTTAGTAGCAAAGTCTTCATATTCATAGTGAGGACTCTTCCAACCTTTATATTCTTCAAAGGGTCCATGATAACCCGAAGGTTCAATAACTTTTATTATCTCCTCTTTTGGCTTGACTGGTTCGTATATAGGGGCAGGTGTATGATAATGGGGCTCATGTTCCGATATGATTTTGATGGTCTCGTGATAAGGTTGTTCCTTTCGATATCCCGAATCTTGCTGATAATATTGCCATGGCTCATCAGTAACTACTTTTATAGTCGGCGCTGGCTTTTTCTCAATTATACGCAAGGTTTCAACATGCTGAATTGGTGGCGGTGGCGGAGGAGGCAATGGCTTCTTCACCGTTTCCTCTATAACGGTGTAGGTGTCGACATTAGAAACTTCCGGTTCATGGTTGACGGGTTCAGCTATATCATTCTGAGGTTTATCCAATTCAGATAATATAATATTCTCCAATAGGGGACCAGACAAAGGAGGTGGTGGTTTCTTCTGCGGTTTCCGCCGATGATGATAATGATGGATATGTTTGTGTATTATATTCTTGGGCACATGTAATTTTATGTGAACGTATTCATCAACAAAGGTTGGCTCAGTTCCGGTGTGTGTTATTTGGAGTATGCAGAAAATACTTAGCTGTCGAAGAAAAGTAAAGAAAAGAAAACAAATTATACAACTTATGGAATTTTTCTAAGAAAGCAAAGAAAGACCAATCTTCTTCTCAAGGGCCACAAGGCTATCCCAAAACGAGAACAAAAGGTCGTGCCAATAGAATAGCTGAATGTTTCTCAATAGAAAATCAGAAGATCTTCTCAATGAAAAAGCAAAGAGTCCTCTAAACGAAGGGCGGAAAGTCTTTTAAGAAGCGGAAGATCTGGCTCTGGGCTGAAAGGTCTTTTTGTAGAAGACTAAAAGATCCCCTCGTGAAGACGGGAAGGTCTTCTCCACAAATACGGGAACATATACTCCAGAAAGTCTGGTAGGTCATCTCCACAAAGACTGGTAGGTCTCCTCTGTAAATACGGGAAGGTCTTTTCTGCGAAGACGGAAAGGTCATACACACGAAGGCGGAAAAGACTTTTCTTGAAAGACGGGAAAGTCTTCTCATAGATGACGATGGGAAGGTCATCTCATAGAAAACGGGAAGGTATTCTCATATAACACACGTAGGTGGAATGATTTTTTAAAAGAAGACGGGGAGGTTTTCCCACAGAAAACTGGTAAGTCTTCCCAGAGAAGACGGGAAGGTCTTCTCATGGAAGACGAAAAGGTCTTCTCATAGAAGAGCTTAAGGTCTTCTCATAGAAGAGCTTAAGGTCTTCTCATAGAAGAGCTTAAGGTCTTCTCATAGAAGAGCTTAAGGTCTTCTCATAGAAGAGCTTAAGGTCTTCTCATAGAAGAGCTTAAGGTCTTCTCATAGAAGAGCTTAAGGTCTTCTCATAGAAGAGCTTAAGGTCTTCTCATAGAAGAGCTTAAGGTCTTCTCATAGAAGAGCTTAAGGTCTTCTCATAGAAGAGCTTAAGGTCTTCTCATAGAAGAGCTTAAGGTCTTCTCATAGAAGAGCTTAAGGTCTTCTCATAGAAGAGCTTAAGGTCTTCTCATAGAAGAGCTTAAGGTCTTCTCATAGAAGAGCTTAAGGTCGTCTCATAGAAGAGAAGATCGAAATATCGGAAGGTCTACTCATACAAGGGCGGAATGTCTTCTCGTAGAAGAGCGGAAGGTCTTCTCGTAGAAGGGCGGAAGGTCTTCTCGTAGAAAAGCGGCAAGTCTTCTCAGAGAAGAGCAGCAGATCGTCTCAGAGAACAGCGGAAGGTCTTCTCAGAGAAGAGCGAAAGGAATTCTCAGAGAAGAACGGAAGGTCGTCTCATAGAAGATCTTCTCAGAGAAGAGCATAAGGGATTCTAGGAAAAGAGCAGCAGGACTTCTCAATACCTATTTACCGTTCTTCTAATCGAAGAGCGGCAGGATTTCTCAGAAAAGAACAGATCGAAAGTTGTTCTCACAGAAGACCGGATGTTCTTTTCAAAGAGAAGAAGAGGGCTACTTATAGAAGTGCAGAAAACCTTCTCATTCCAAGACCTTCTTAAGTAGGGCTAGACAGAATTAACTCAGAGGATCAGATAAAGGGGTTTTCCAAAAATCGATAAGTAGCATCTGATTTTAAACCACTCTATGTCTCAAAAAATACAAAATGAGTTCTCGAATTGAATCCTTTTAGTCCTTATATAAAGGTACCACTGTTTTTCACTGAGGAAGTCCACGGAGAGGAAGATTAAAAATACCAAAACTAGACATATATCAACACCAACAAAGAAGGACGAGTTAAGCCAAACAAATTCACGCCAATTCATATAATCCAAGTAATGAAGTATGTTAGCGAAATGAAAATCCATATTCCAATATTAATTGCTCACTCAAATTGAATACTATTATAATTCCAGGTAATAAAACTTCGGACTCATTCTAATTTTTTGTTTTGTTAGGAACCACCGGTATTTTTCCATGCGCACAGTTGTAAATATAAAAAATATTTTCTTTTTATTTTATTATTTGTAATACTAACGGTTAAAGCTTTATAAATTTCCATAGTTTTTCTCTTCCACTATTCACGACCGACTATTACCGCTTACACATTCACAAAACTTGTTAACAGTTCGACGTCTAAAATTTGTTTAAACCTCTAAAAAAGTTTCATTTAATCGTTTTATAGATTTTGAAGATGAAAAATAAATTTCTCAAAAGAAATCCCCCCCATATACACACACACACATCACCCTACTGAGGAACTGAACTGACCTATGAAAACACACATAATCGTTTCCAATATTAATTGTCTTTAGAAATACTGCTAACGGAATCTGCTGTGAACTTATCCACTGGCCAAGTCATAACTATTTCATTTCAAGCAATAGCTGATAAATTTACAACCATTTCAATTTGGATGCCAGCGGCAAGGTGGTGAAAATTTCTGAAAACAAAACGCTTGTGTTTAAATATAAAACACAATGGACACACATGCCTACAAACAAATATGAATTTCTAAACTAAAAGCCGCATATGACATTTGATATGGCGCGTGTGTGTTTGTGTGTTGCCACCAACAACATTTGTTGTGATGTTGTACCTTTTGTTGTGCTAATTGGCCAATGACTTGGGTTTATTTCATTTCTAGGGGAGGACAAAGAAAGATTAATTCAAAGGGGTTTTTAATCAAAATATTGAATATTTTTTTATGGGTTATGTCATCCGGAATAAAGGAAAATAAATAAAACGTGAGAATTCTTGAAATTATTGTAAAAAATTTCAATACTAAGTTTTGGGTTAATTTGAGATCAGTTTTTGGCTAAATATTTCTATGAGAAAGTATGTCAATCCCTAAAAAATAAATTAAAAAAATATATATAAAATATTTCCAAATTTTTATCATTTTTTCTTCGGCCTTTTTTGAGTTGATGTATGAAAGAAAGTGTTGACAACACTTTTCTCAAAAAATGAAAAATTTAGAAATTTTAATTTTCAATGGAAACGTGTTGAATTAGCAATAAGAAATGTAAACCCTTTATTTTTACCCTCCACCATTATATAGGGGGTATATTAGCTTTGTCATTCCGTTTTTAACTCCAGGGTGAGATGAAAAAACTGCAACCAACTTTAGACTGTTGTCATTTCTAAACCACTTGTAAGACAGCTGTTAAAATTGTTTAAAAGCGTACAAAAGCATTTTGGTGAGCATTTTCCAGAAAAAAGATATTCGTGTTGAAATTCAAGCGTGGCTTGAAAATCACACTCCAGCATTTAAATGTGAATAAATCTTTTGTGTCTCCTACCATAGGCAGAAATGGTTCGAAAAGTAAAGAAGCGACTTGATCGAAACACGCGTCGCAGTGGCCGAAAAATGGCTCGTGAGCTGAACATATCGCAATATTCCATTTGGCAAAAATTGAAAAATAAGCTTCGGGTAAAGCCATTGAAATTTCAAAAAGTGCAAAAACTTACACCGCAACAGAAAGAAAATAGAAAAGAGCTATAGAGTTGCTTCGCTTGGCCGAAAGTGGTGAACTGCCGAATTTGGTTTTCTCCGCCGATGAAAAAACATTCGTTTTCCAGCAGTTTGTAAACAAACAAAAAAGAGGTCAGCTGAAAATGTGCACTTTCGCTTGGCCCCCAGAACTCAAGCACAGGCTATGGTGATGGTGTGGGCCGCCATAACAACCGATGGTCGCACTCCGCTCGTATTAATCAACCGTGGCATCAGAATAAATGCCGAATATTATCGCGAAAATATTCTGGAGGGTGTATTAAAGCCTTGGGCACGCATACATGCATAGTTTACCAGTAGTCATGTTAAATTTGTAAATGAGCCATGTCGGTCCACGTTTTCGTTTAGCCCCCATATAACGTACCTACCGATATTCGGTATTTTCATGATTTTTACGACATTATTTTCCGGAATCATTTCAAATTTGAAGTTCATAATGGGTACTACAGCCTATGACAAAAATGTTTGTGACTATCGGGAGGAACCGTTATATGGGGGCAATACAAAGACGTGGACCTGGTCTTTGTATAGCCCCCATATAACGGTTCCTCCCAATAGTCGGTATTTTGAGGATTTCAGCAACATTTTAACCGGAATCGTTTCAAATTTCACATTGAAAGATCTTAATGGGTGCTACAAATTATGCCAAAAAATTTCGTATGCAGGTCCACATCTTCGTATAGCCCCCATATGATTGTACCTACCGATATTTCATATTTTAATGATTTTAGCGACAATATTCTATGGAACTGCTTCTAATTTCGTAATTGAAGTTCGTAATGGGCGCTACAGCCTATGACAAAATTTTTTGTATGCAGGTTCACGTCTTCGTATAGCCCTCATATGACGGTACCTCCCGATATTCGGTATTTTATTTATTTTAGCGACATTATTCACCGGAATTGTTTCCATATAACAGTTTTCATTTAAGTGGTAGTTTTCGGATTTTTTTTTAAAATTTTCAAGTTCCTTCCAAATGGTGGCGGGTATTAAAAGTTTGGCCGGCCGAACTTAGCTACTTTTTTACTTGTTATTTCTAAAAGATATAAGTTTCAAGCAACATTTTTTTTTAAAAAACTATTAAAACTAGATGTAAGTTTATTCTCAAAATGACAGGATAATTTTGAGCAACCTTTTTCTTCTTTTGAAACTTTTTGTCTGAAATGAAATTTTATTTGGCATAAAGTGACAAAAAGTACGGCTTAAACCCAAAAATGTTTTTTAATACATGTGAATTTCTTAAGATATTTGCATTCCTCCAATATTTTGAGTTATTCACAATTTAAGACTTTCATAAAGGTTGATGTAGAATATATTAACGGTATATCCAGAATGATTAGGCATCTGTCACATTTAAAAATCAAAGAGTTTTAAACACACATACTTTCGTAATATGTATATTATATATTATATAATATATATTATATAATATAATTCGGTTTGTTTAAATCAAATTTTAAAATTATTTGATAAAATGCGGGTCAGGGAATGTAACATCTAAGCCACAATGCGGTATGTGATATGACAATAATACACATTTTACTCCGTGACCATACAATACTTTCTCTCTCCCTATTGGTGATAACAAGTTTGTTTATTCAGTGCATTTTTGGGGATATTTCCTGACCTTGAATATATGGAAATGATAACTAATGCTCATATTATCACATTTGACTCCAGACCAAACCACACATGGTCTGTGTGTGTTTTGACTTTGATAAACAGCTGCAGTTGAATTTTAAATGAACCTTGGACTTAGGGTGATAGCACCATTACGTTAGTTTTGAAGTTGTGCTTTTCAAAGCGGGGAGTATCTTTCTATGATGGTGCGGTTCTTAAAATAAGGGTGCTAGTTTCAAATTTCACACAAAACTAAAAATATGTGGTTCGGTACATATATGTAAAGCGAATAAGGCAATTCTGAAAGTTTTTTTTGTTATCGCCAGAAATGCGACCCCTTCAAAAGGTCAAATTTCTTGATATACACTCGGCCTTGTGACTACGGAGTAAATATATAATTTCAAACGATCAACATGTGCCTTTTAGGAACAAAGCTTTTAGACCACATGCCTTATACGACGAAATTTATTATTGTACTAAAGATGGTATGTATCATTTGATACGATCGAATTTTTTTGTACCGTTGTATGGGGGCTACACAAGAATGTGGACATATACATCCAATGTTGCGCCACTACGGAATCCGTGGAAAAATGTGGCAAAAATCATTAACATATAAATATTTTTGAAAAAGACCTTCTATAAGAAGAAAAATCTCTATATATATTTCTCCCGTAGATAAGAACAAGTTAAAAATATCAGTCGGTTTAACCGACAGATCTATACTCTCAGCCAATGTTTGATTAATTTAATATATTTTGACTTCTGCTATGATTATTCAAATGTTTAACTCCTTATGGAGAAGGTTCCGAAGGAATATTCCAATATTTTCCATTTCGTATCGGACATAAATAAATATGATATATATTTATTGCGACGTGCCAGGTTTGGACTATATTCTTCCTTCACTTTACATGAGTTATGTGATCATTTATGGAAAATGGGGGAGGTATCACAAGAAATAGTCCGATTTCTACCATCTTTATAAGATATCTTGTTTTGATGGAAATATTGAGATATTCAAAGTCTGAATTGAGATGTACCAAGTCTGAATGGAATCGGATGCTAATTTCGCGTTTTTTGAGCTTCATGGATATTCAAAATTTTGAGCTTTTGTGGGGAAGGTACCAGAAGGAGTGGACCGATGCATCCCATCTTCACAGATATTGTGTTAGTAGTAATAACGGGATGTGTGAAATATGAAGAGAACCGGATGCTAAATTCGTTTTGGTTATTCAAAACTTTACCTTCTGTGGGGGAGGTAACAGAAGGATATTGTGTTAGTAGTAATAACGGGATGTGTGAAATATGAAGAGAACCGGATGCTAAATTCGTTTTGGTTATTCAAAACTTTACCTTCTGTGGGGGAGGTAACAGAAGGAATGGTCCGGTTTTTACCATCTTTGTAACAGATCTTGTGTTGGTGGATATAACCAGATGTGTCAAGTCTGAACAGAATCGGATGGTAATTTCGCGTTTTATGAGCTTAATGGATATACAAAATTGTGATCTTTTGTGGGGGAGGTATTTGATGGAGTGGATCGACAATGTCCATTTTCGTACCTGACCTAGCTTTGACGCAAATATTAGGATTTGCAAAGTTGGAACAAAATCAGATTATCGTTTCTCTTTCTGTTCAGAAAATATATATTTTTGAAAATTTCGACCTTTTGTGGGGGAGGTATCAGAAGGTGTGGACCAATATATTCCATCTTAACACCAGACCTTGGCTTAATAAAAATATTGGGATGTGTGAAATTTGAAGACAATCGGGCTCTTACATCAATTTTAATAGAGTTGTAATTATTCAAAATGTTGACCCTTTGTGGAGGAGATACTTGATGGAATGGACTGACATTGCCCATTTTCGCACCTCCTTCGAGAGTTATCGTGCGCACCAGCCAGACAGACAGACGGACGGGCATCGCTAGATCGACTCCAAATAACCTAAAACGGATTTGGCCCAAAATCACCGTTATTTCGACTAGGCAGGTTTTGACCGTATCAAATTA